GTGGCCGTATTGCAGTGCACCGCAGCTGACGGGTCATTATTGGGTGATGTTCGTTCGCGGTGGTCGGAACGCATCATCCTGTGGATCACCAGACCAGTTGCAGTGTAGAAGAATATAACAATAAACAGTCGTACGACAACCGACAACAGGCTGCTCATAGTTGCACGTGCGCTACCCTTACCTCTTTTTACAATCAACTCCGACAGCGAAAAAACCTTTCGATCGGACCGCTGCGTCCGAAAAACTCCCGTTCGGTCAACCACGACCGCGTGATTAACAGTGCGACGTATCCCGCGACTGAAACCAGCGCGTAGTACGCGCTCGCGGACATACATGGGGCCCACCATACGAGGTAGGTGATCAGTAGCGCCAGCGCTATCAGGTTCATCCATCGGTACCGGACGACTTTCGTCTCGTAGTCCCCGGTGGAGAGGTTGCGATCACTCATTGTACTCGACTAAGCTTTCGTGTAAAATTCGAATCGCAATCTCAATCCTCTTGGCTTATATTCTTCCCTTTCGTTTACCGATTTTGCTATTGACAACTTACAAGAGGTCGACTTGTATCTATTCCGGCTTAGACTGTTCATGACCACATTCTAAGTTTATAACTTGTAAGTGTTCTCGGTCCGACGATTCGAATAACATGGTAAACGAGACGGGGACAGAGTCCGGTGATGCCACCGCACCGCTTGGCGGAGTGTGTAAAACCACCACTCCGCAGATCACGTTCTTCCCGACCGTCGGCTACAGAGCGATGGTCGGAGGTGCGAGAAAAATAGGAGGCCTAAGCCCTTCGTACCGTATAATGTCGTCATCTGGTGAATACGGGACGAACCGATGCAAAAGTCCCGCACCGGACAGAAAGGTAGGCAGCGGCGTTCGAGGCCGATCGCCACCATGTAGTGGTAGAAAACTGTTGGGAGGAGGGGTGGAAGCGGCAAACCGAGATCGACCAGTATCTGCAGGAAATGCCTGTCCTGCGAACAAAAGTAAAGCTGGCGGAGGTCGGTTGTTGTCGAGCCCCGCGAAAAAGGCGACGGGTCGTGTGTCGCGCTCGAGATCCCGATCTGGTTCGCGTGCGAGGAGGTTCGGCACCGTGAAGTCGTCACCCAACCGTTCCGGATCCAGTTCACTTTCGCGGAAATCTACACGATCCCGATCACCAAAGAGAACCAATAATTCCAATATCAGTAGGAAGAGTAAAACCAAAAGATCGAACAACTTCAGGTCCCCGTCCGGGCTTAAGAGTGGAACTAGTAAAACAAAGACCCCGATCCCTAGTAGAGTGATGACAAGAAGGCGTGTGGACAGGAGATGAGAGCCTTTCTATGGCGTACGATAAAAACTAAACACTTCAGTGTTATAACAATAAAAACATATAAACAAGAAACCAAGACTTCAGGAATCAGTTATACTATCATCCCTCCGTTTCTCTCTCTCTCTATGTATGTGTGTGTGTGTGTGAGTGTGGGTGTGATTGTGTATACACTGTGGTTGGTCTCTTCTATCTTGTGTTCGTACGTGTCGTATGTGTAAAACCCCAGCAACAGTCATCTGTTTCTTGACATGCGTTCAAAAAAATACAATGGATGCTTTGATGAACGGCTGGCCAATGTTCGTGTGTCATTTGTAAGCCATGGCGTGGAGAGAAGAGTGGAACAGTCAGTCGAATCTGAAAGACCCGTCCGACGGGTCGTCATCCGAGTCGGACTCGTCCGCAGGAAGATCTGCGAGCTCGTTTCGTCGATCACCCGGTAAAGGTTTGCCGCGTTCCAAAAGCAATTCGCGAAATTCGTCTCGTTTATCCAGACCGCGTTCGAGAAATTCCACTAGTGACGCTGACAACCAACGTAGTCAACGCGGTTCGGTTAACCCACCGCCGATACCACGCAGGTCGCAATCGCGATCGCCACCGGTTGAGAACAGATATGTTTCGCGAAATTCGTCTCGTTCGTCCGGATTAAGTCCGACGGATTCAGCTAGCGACGCTGACAACCGACGTAGTCGACGCGGTTCGGTTAACCCACCGCCGATACCACGCAGGTCGCAATCGCGATCGCCACCGGTTGAGAACAGATATGTTTCGCGAAATTCGTCTCGTTCGTCCGGATTAAGTTCGACGGATTCAGCTAGCGACGCTGACAACCGACGTAGTCGACGGGGTCTGGTGATACCACCGTTAACGCCACTCAGGTCGCAACCACGATCACCACCGGGTGAGAACAGAGGTGGAGGCGGACCGTCCCGACATCGCATCGATTCGGGGTCGGACGACGACGGAATACTAGGAGGCGACAATCTATCTTCTTTTTCGTCTGGTACAGACAACAGTCGCATTCGACGTAGAAACGCCGATCGACAGAGGAGGCTGGCCGAAGGTGGACTGAATCATGGCGAACGGGCGACGAAGGGTCGATTGAGAAACCCTTCCAAATACACGGACAAATCGATGCACACGAACCTCGATCGGTCCGCCGTTGTAGGGAACGCGCGACGGCGCATGGCGGACGGTATGCCGAGGGAGATCAATGCTATCTGTACGAACCGGTTGGGTAAAGTCCGCATGTGCAAAAGACTACTGACGCCGATGAACTTTCGCAGACTCTACCTGCGTCTGGACTACATTTTGCCACGAAATCTGCTGATGGCATTGACGTTGGACGTGTCGGACAACCGGTTGCGGACGTTGGAAGCTGATAACGTCATCAAGTATTATTATGCAGCCGGCACGTATTTGAGAGCCTCGATATCGTCGGTTGAAGATGAACTGTTGGACTCGGATCTGGCCGTGAAGTGGTTGATGAACGCGATACAGATAATGGGGGAACTTCACAAGTGTACCGGACAGACTACGATGGCCCAAGCGATTGACGAGAAATACCATCGCGATTTGGATGTGAACCGGCTCACACTGGGTGCTATGATAATTCGTACGTTGCCAAACATGACGGAAGATGTCAGCCGGGAAGATGCCTTGTCCGCTCTTCGACGCGTCACCGAGATCGTCAAACCGACCAACATACGAATATGGGGTATCGATAACGACGGGCTCACTAATGACGAGCGTGTACCAAAATACGCAGATAACGTGTTTTTAGGTGAAGCAAGGACCAACGAGGTACGATCATATCCGCTGAACGAAAAAATATCTTACATAAAAGATGTGAATCCTTAGTTGCCACTCGGAAGTAAATGAGAGTGGAAGGGGGGGGGGGGGGTTGGAGTGGGTTCAGAATGTTGACGTCGACGTCCTGTGCTCTACGTGCTTTCTACATGACACGGAGGTTTTATATCCCCCGCCGCCTACAATTGAGTGGTATTCTGCTGAAGCTTTCTCACACGTCTACTTCTACAACACGATGACTTCGGAAACCAACACGGAGACGGCTGCTGGCGGCCATGTACACTTTGACGACGACGTACTGACCGAGTGTCAGCTGGTCGAAGATGATTCGGACGAAATATTTAGTGTCTCGAATGTTATGGCGGCCCCGGTCAAGCGGCGCCGCTCGGCCATCGACGTTGAAACAAACGATGAGGTGAGAAAGGTCAAACGAAAGCTGTTTACCGAAGATGATGATATTATGTCTCATCAAGACGATATAATTGAAAAACTAAAAAAAACTCCGACCATAGATCAATTTGTTTACAAAGATCAAGTTGTCGATCTTCGTGGCCCGCTACCGGATTACGAAGGAGCCAAGTTTGTACTGACCAACGTTTTCAACACGTTTGTGCACATCGTTTGTTACAAATCGTCGTTGTCGATTCCGACCAACTCTATGCTAACCATACAACTGCTCACCGACAAGAAAGATCTGCGCAAACTAGAAGCGGACCGGTATGAAAACTCACACATCCACCTACCACGCATGTTGGAAACCATGTTAGGCTTGTTGGACTACCGCAACGGCCCCGCGTATTACATCAACCAACTGAAACCGGTATCGTGTTTGGTGAACAAAAGAACCATGATGGACAAGATCTCTTACCGATCGATGGAGGCCACCACCAAAAACGGATCGAACTACATCGAACTGTCGTTCAACAACCCCTTTCGTTTCATATTCTTTGGATTCACACATCGCCAGGGACAACAGAGGCCGGTCGAGGTGGGTCTGAGCCAGTTTTTCGGAGATTACATGCATAAAACACTCGATGACATGCACGAAGTACTCTACGCGTTGGTCTCCAAAGAGATTGAAAAGGCGAAACGCGGTGTAAAAGACCCAGAAGCCATAGCGGCGGCGCCGTTTGGTGGTGGACTACAGCGAGTGGAACCGGCACCGATACAAGGTGGCTTACGAGATATGGAAATGTACTCGAACCGGAACTCCGGTGAACCGGTTTTACACGACTATTTACGTCAAGTGAATTTACCGTTGACCAAGAAAGGCAACATTGACATACTCGTCACCAGCGGTGGTGGTGGTGGTGGTGGTGGCAAGGGTGGAAAGAGTGCCGAAGTGGCGAAAATGACGTATTTGACCGTGGAGAAAAACGACAAGGAGGAAACCGGCTGTTTAAAACTGGTCGATTCCGAAATCTCACAAAATGCGATATTTTTGTCCTCGTACATAAGGTGCAGAGTTCTGATTAAAGAAAAAGGGACGTTTTCACTTCAAATCTACACCAGACATGGCATACAACTGATGCCGTTCACCGATAAGATCACCAAGTTCGACGAACTCGATCCTCAAAACTCAAAAGCGAGTGAAAAACAGAGTTGAAATGTATTAATCTTTATTTTTTGTTCGATTCACTTGTAAGGTGTTTGTAGCAATCAATAAAATTCAAACATTTTTATTCGAATATGGTTCAGTGTGTTTTACAGAATTCCTTGTTGACGATATATCCTCGTCCCCATTATTTTTTAGAATTAAGCCGACACACACACACACAAACAAACACACACTCTGTAGTTAGTTTCACAGTCTCGATCGCACGAGTGTGTGTTTGTGTTCAGTGTCTAGTCTTGTATTATTGAAGTACAGAAAAATGAATGTTACAAAGGACGAATCGGGACCATCTGATAACAAGAGGCAGCGGTTTATGGATAGTTACGTCGTAAAGACATCGAAATCGACCGCGACTGCCAACACAGACACGTCTGTCGCGGAAAAGGAAATGTTGGCGGACCACATGAGGTCGGCACATGTCAAGTCGAGTCTAGGAAGAAAGACGGAAAAGGAGTTCAGGCACTACATGACGTCTAAATACACAGCGTTGTGTTTGGAATCGCTGCCTCACCGCTGGTTCAGAGTGATTTTCGACCAGAACTCCGGTATGGACGGGGGCGAGGAGCGTGCCAACAGCGACTCTACGGCCAGCACTCTAAACGCGGCTCTGAGCGCGGAAAAGCGCCTGATATGCCCTCAACCAATGGAGAACATGTGGAAATGGGCTAGAGCCATACCGGACCCCGACGGGGTGCGAGTCGTGGTGGTCGGACAGGACCCGTATCACACGGTTTTTAGGAAACACGACGGCACGACGGTGACTATGGCCGACGGGTTGGCGTTCAGCGTCAATCCCGAATACGCTCGCCTGGGAAAACCCCTACCGCCGTCACTGGTGAACATCATGAAATTGGCCGACAGCGCATTCAAGTCACGGCGATTCGACGAGAACGGATTTCAAGGTGATCTGACCGCATGGACGGAGAATGGAGTGCTGCCGTTAAACACGACTCTCACTACCGTCGAAGGGATTCCAAACGCCCACTCTAATATCGGCTGGGACAGAGTGACCGATCGTATTTTACAGTGGTTGGGGCGCAAATCGACGGACGACAACGAACTAAAACGTTCGGCACGGATCTTCATGTTGTGGGGCAAGAACGCCAGAGACGCGATGGACTTCATCGATCGTTCCACACACGTCTGTCTGACCAACTGCCACCCTTCACCAATGTCGGCGAACACTTACGGGTGGTTTGAAAACGACAACTTCAAAGACGCCAATTTGTTTTTGCGAACACTGGGCCACCCCCCGGTGCCCTGGTCATGTCGCCACCGGCCGCACGGAGAATACAAAAAGTTAGCAAACGAATGAGTCTATTGAATGGAAAAATCTATTTTACATGACGAATAAAAAGTTTCTGTACACATTATTTTTGTTGTTTTCCTTATCTCTAGCATATCACTCACGCCGTGCGGCGTCGGAACCCGAGCCGAACACGGCGGTGAGTACGGTGTCGGTGATTTTCTTGAACAGGTCTGTCATGACGGTTTTCACGAGCATGTAGCGATCGTAGACCCGTGTCATGTCGCGATAGAAAACGCTTTCCAGGCTGTACACGACGTTTCTCCACTTTGCGGGCACTAGGTTGACACAGTACACATAACTGAAATGTAATCTCGGTACATGTTCCACGGACACCGTACCGTCGTCTCCGCACTTTGAAACCACTCGGTCCGTGGAACCGCTCACGAAAGCAGCAATCTCGTGTTTTAACGATTCGTCACTCAGTATTGAAACGACGTCGTCTATGGTCCTTTCTACAAAAGCACGACTCAACGCCCGTTTGTTTCCTTCGTTTTCACCCCGCAAGTACATCTCAGCATGTTTGCCGAACAAAACGTCGTATCTGCGGGCTGTGTTTGATAACAGACTCGCGAATTTCTCGACAGCGGTGACCACCGGGGGTGGTGAGAGTGCCTCTCGTTCTGACAATAGGAACTTCACATTCGACATGACGTCAGTGGGCGACTTAGTATAAGTGCGCCCGGTAACGAATCTCCATTCTGTTATACCGGGTGAGAGTGTTTGTATCCCACAACCCAACGTTCCGGTTTGATAAATAGAGAGAACAAAACAATCAAAACCTGTTACAAGATACAGTCGGATCAGACTAAACAGTCGGTGTCGATGGCCGTTTCGGGCGGTGAAAACTCCGTATTTGACGGCGAGTCGAACCGCAAGACACACAAACCCGTACAACCGTCATGCGATTGTGAATTCCAGTACAGGGATTACATTTGGAAGAGGTTTTCCGAATACGTTCCATCGCGCAACGGCGTGGACGTTCGTGATGTATTCGTTGTCAAGAGTATGTCCGGGAAAGAGGTGTTCACGTACGCCGAAGGTGCTATAGGCGGCACGGGCGTGGAAACGCGGTTCCCCTTTCTGTGTGGCGAGATCGTCAGTTCGAAAAAACTCGCGTCCGCCGGCAAGCTTAAGAACCTGTACGCCTGGGTCCAATCACGACCGGACGACGCGTCAGTTTTGTCGGACGACACGGACGGCAGGCCGTTGCACGTGTTGCAGCGACATCAGGACAGTACGAGCAGATCTTTGACCAGCCTGCCGTTGGTCGTTGAGAAACACAGCAAGGTTGTAGTGTTCAGAACTCACGGTGGATCGTTGTTCGTCCAACTGATGCCGACCGTTCGATCGGAAGAGAGACTCGTCTCTGGCACGCCACTGTTTGACAGGCACGACCGTGGCGTACGTGCATCAGTCGGCAGTATGTTCAGCGAGCACGAGTACGTAGTCAATTGCGCGCCCACAGAGTACTGTGAAATACCTATTGGCAGAAACACACACGGTTCCGACCGATTGAACATCGTCTGTTTGGACAGGCGCGGACTGGACAGTGTGAGTGAGGACACGCCGTTGAAGAAGAAGAAGAGGCGTTCACCGTCCCTACTGACGCTCGTCAGTCTGGGATTGAACACAGTCACGGGTGGGGGTCGTGATCGCAGCATGCCAACGGCGGAAAGTCCGAAAAACACTCTTACACGGACCACTTCTGTCAGTGACATACACGGTCTGTTTTCAAACGAGTGTGACACTTCTGGTGAGTACGAGGTGATATACAGAGGTGTGGTCAACGACAGGCTGCAGGTAACCGATACGTTAGTACAGGACAAAAAGAACAAACCACCAAAGTCGATTGTGACAATCACGATCGACGATGACGGAATCAGCGTACGGTACTCAGACGAGACGGAGCGTTTGCTGTTCACGTGGGTACACAAAGATCCGGGGACGTCTTACGGTGTTATGCCGAGACGGTATTTTGATGCGAAAGCGAACGTGGTCGAAATAAACACAGCGGCTCGCGTCGGCAAGAGAAAAGCTTTTGCGCTCAAACGTTTCAAATCGTTGGAGCATTTGATTTAAATCTTCTTACCACGACAAAACAGATGGTATGCCAGATCGAAGTGGGTAAAATTGAAAAAAAAATGGACCAGTCATCTGCTAAGTATTCGTAACCATGTCGGGAGGTAATCGGAACGTGTCGCTGTCCGAAAAAGACGCGACACTGATCGAATCGTCGTACAGGCTGCTTTACAATCTTCAGAAGAAAAACTTGACGTTTTTCAACGCCCTCGACGAGTATGAGAAAACACGTTCGGGTGATACGGGCAAACCACCGAGACTGGCGTTTATAGTCACACCACTCATGGTGAACCACTACAATCACATGCACCATGTTTATCGCGCTTCTCTGTACAACAGAGTGCCCGACCTGTGTGACCAGACTGGTGGGATCCTGTGCACAGACCTGACGGCCTTGCGTGAGGAGCTTGCCACGCGCACGATTGATGTGAACCGGCCGCTGACCACCTCGATCCGTACGGCAACGTTACCGAATGTCCGGTTCAATTTCAAAGCGGAACGCGACAGTGTCGTCGAGACGGCCGTGCGCCTCTTAGACTCGATAGATTTGAAACAACCCGATCTGGCGCACAGCATACGCGACGATTACATACAGAACGTGCGCGCGATCCAAGAGTCGTTGACAAACGCGTTGGAAAAGTCGAAAGAACGGTCAGCCGAACTACAGTCCCGTCTCGGCGATGTCACCAGGAAATTGGAAACGGCGGGAAAGATCATAGCTTCGGCGCCCGACGACACCGACCGTTTGCGACAAGAGGTATTTCGGCTCAAGGAGCAGATTCTGAAACAACAGTCGGCGGCATTGAGACAGCGAGTGGAGTGCGATACGAACGCGTTGCGGTTGAAAGAGCGCGAAAGTGAATGCAATCTCTTGCGCGAACTGACAAAACGTGTGGACGACCAGACAAAGGAGGGCGACGAGGGCATGAGGAGACTCCGTGCCGATATGAACGAGTACATGGAGGCTGAGATCGGTAAACTGAGAGCGGACTACGACGTTATACGCCATGAAATCGCAGATCACGTTAAACACACCATAACGCGGACGCAGAAAGAGAACACAGAAACTATCGAACTTTGTCGGTCGTTGATGTCACATAACGCGAGCGGTGCGAGTGATCAGGACGGAAGACTGTCAAAACTGCAACTAGACTATCACATGTTGGAGCGAGAGAACGCTGAGCTGAAACGCCAGTTAGCGAGCAAAGATCACACGTTGGACCAAGATCACGTTTCCGGTGATGACGGTTCCAGTGGTGCTATGGAATACGAAACTGAATCTCATGACGAGTACACGAACACCGTGGTTAACGCCAACATGGAGGATGTCAAACGACAGTGCAGCGCGGTGTTGGAGCACAGGGAAGCCGAATTCGAAAAAGCGATCAAGTCGCTCAGAGCCGATCTCGATTCACTGCATGCCTTCTTCATAGACCCGAACAATATGGAAGCCACTTTGCGGTTAGGGGCGTATTTGCTCCAGCACAATATTGAATTGAACAGCGAGTACGGTAGCTTGGCGAAATACCTATTGCATATCAGAAGCAGCGGTTCACTGACTGGAGACCAGTTGTCGCGTATCGAGGATCTCAACAACAAGATCTCGTACGCCGAACAGATTGTTCAGGGCCAGTCTTCACAGATCGAATGTCTGAACAGGACGGTGGTGTTCTCCAATAATGTAGTTTTTGACCTAGTGCATGTAGCAGAAAGCGCTTACGAGGATTTAGTGGGGTTGTTGGGTCTACAAAGGTTCCCCACTGAAATAGTACAACCCGACACATTGATAGAATTCTTTTCGCAGCGTTTTGGTACAGCACTGAAAAACAAAATTATTTACCTTTTACAACAATACAAGGAAACCGTCGATCGTATGAAGGCGTTGGCAAAGGAGCACGAAGACTTGAAAGCGGTGGCGGTGTTGGTCTCTAACGACACAAGACCTCCGTCTCTGCCTGTTGTGGACTCAGAAACAATTTTAAACTCATTCGACGGCGATCCGACTGTTTTTGAGAGGGTCTTACAGATCGTGTGGGCGAGACCAGAAACCGATCGACTACGTGTCGTACTGAATGCGGCCTATTATGCGTTGGCGTTGGACCGAGTGAGAAGATATGAGACTTACACCGCCAACTCGGACCTGAAACTGTACAATCTGGTCGAATATACCACTCTGACGAACTACCTGAGGAACACCGCCGAGACGCCCGCCGTTCGCAGCGAACTGATGAACCCGAGACTGAGCGAACCGCAGTTTTTTCTTGAGTACTTTATCAACCAAATAGGTAATATACAAGTGGAAAACTACATAAACTCACTACATCTAAATAAACGAAACGAGCTGGCCGTCGTGTTGTTCAATGACTACTATGTACCAATTGTAAACAAAACATCTTTTGTCATGAGTATTGACGGTCCTTTTGCGAATTTCAACATGATCTATAAGGCTTAGTTGTACGAGAATTAAAGAATAACAACTTTATAACGACCAAACGCACACACACACACACACACGCACACACACACACACACACACACACACATACACACACACACACACACACACACACACAGAGAGAGAGAGAGAGAGAGAGAGAGAGAGAGGGGGGGGGGGCAGATGGAATGAATTGAAAAGAAACCTGAGATTACAGATTTTTTTTATTTTGAATTCAACGCCCTGGCGAAAGCACTCTCTATAATCCAGTACATCCTACAACAGTTGGCGAATCGTAGTATTTTTTTCAACTCCAACAGTTTGCACAGATCGAACCTGTTGGACAGACGCTCGTCGTTGAAACGAAACGCGCCATCGACTCCCATGTTCATGCCGGCAAGCATTGGTACGTCTTCGTCTCGTCTGGCCGTCCCCATCATCTCGCGTCCGGTTGGTGATCGGAAGTAGAATGTAGCGTAGGACAGATACCACA